GTACAACAAAAACTACAGCCATCAGTTCTTTTTCGTACACAAATTTCTATTTTGCTCTCAATCCTAACGATTGACTGAAATAGGCTATGAGCTGCTCGTTTTGCATCAAAACAACTCCCAACTTGTAACCTGAAGCGTCTGTCTCAATGATAAATTCCGTCAAGAAGTCAGGAAGTTTCAAAACAGGTGTTGTTAATAACAACTTCTTCAATTTCTCAAAGGCTGATTGGGCTGCTTCTGTCAAAAGAAAATGATTCTTCTTTAGTAAATCTGTGAGGGGGGGCAGCCACCATTCCATACCCTTTAATGAACTTCCGATAATAACCGGACAGTCCCATAAACCCTCGTAACTCAGTAACTGTAGTCGGGTCATTATACAATAGCCTTTATCTTAGACTTGTCTACCTCTACACCCTCACCCAATATAACATGCCTCAAATAACCAATTTTATCACGGCCGAATTCACACTTTTTCTTATTAGCATAAAGCTGTTGTAGGGACAAAATGTCAAGAACAAGCTTCAAATGTACTAAATATTCTTCCCAAGACTTACCGTATACCAATATGTCATCAAAAAATATCAAAACAAACTTTCATAAATAACGACCAAAAATTTCATTCATTAAACCTTGGAATGTCGCCGATGCATTGACCAATCCAAAGGGCATTACGAGAAACTCGTAATGTCCATGTTGAGTACGAAAAGTTGTTTTCTGCACATCTTTCTCGCATTCTAATCTGATGATAACCGGACTTCAGATCCAATTTCGAGAACACTCAGGCATTGTGTAATTCATCCAGTAGCTCGTCGATGACTGGAATAGGAAACTTATCTACCACCATTGACTTATTTAGGGCTCTATAATCTATACAAAACCTCCAGCTCCCATCTTTTTTCTTTACTAGTAATACAGGACTTGAGAATGGACTTGCACTCGGCCGAATCACTCCTGTCTCCGGCATTTCTTTAACTAGCTTTTCAATCTCATCTTTTTGATAATGAGGGTACCTATACGGTCTCACATTCATTGGTTCGGTTCCATCTTTCAACACAATGCTATGCTCTTTTCCTCTAACCGGAGGCAATCCATGTGGCATATTGAAAACCCGTTCAAACACCTGTAATAAATATTCCAACCCCGAATTCATTTCTTCCTGCTCTTCATTCTCTATTTCACATGAGCCCAATTCACTAAAATTTCATGACCCTCCTGTTGGATTTCCCTTCCTATGGTTTTCAGCGACACTTTAGTTCTTCCAAGAGATAGATCACCTTTAATCGTGACAGATTTTCCCCCAACCGTGAATTTCATTACCTGTTGTTTCCAATTAATGTAAATGAATCCCAACGTTTCCAACCACTATATACTTAAAATCACATCACTATTTCCCAATTGTATAGGCAAAAAATCCTCCACGATATCTAAACTTTGTATTGACAACGTTATACCACATTAGATGCCCTCTCCTTTCACCGCATTGGTCGTACCCATAGTAATCGTATACTCTTTCGTTTTATTCACTTCTAAATTCAACTTATTAACCACCTTTTACGAAATAAAGTTGTGAGTCGTGTCGCTGTCTATGAGTACTTGTTACTAGAATTATATAAAATAAATCTCTCGGACTGTTAATAAAAGGAAATTAGTGCAAGTATACACTTATCAATCCAATATCGTCTTTCACAAGTAATAGAGTGGTAAAAATACTGAATATCGTTCACATGGAAAATAATAAAAGTTCATTGAAAGTCTAAATAAAGATATGATTTCAAATGATGAGTTCGAAGAAATATTTGTGGTCAGTTGGTTTAACACTACTGTTGTGATCAAGTAATAAAAGAGAGCTTAGGGTGTAGGGATATGTTAAGATATTAAACCGGTTTTTAAGTAGACAACATGCTACAACATGGTTCTATAGCATGCTTAATAAGTAACTTGTCCTTACAACTAATAGCTTCTTTAAGGTACTATCTCGAGATGTAGAATGGCGCACAATCATAGATTAAGCCTCCATATCTCTATGTAAGGCTGGAGTCTCGACATTGGCTCAAATTATTCCTTATATAAGCTAAATGGAGTGAAACGTGTCTCCTCAATGCTAAGTATCTCTCTCAAGCCTACTTCCATATCATTCAAGTTGACGTGTGCTTGTTGGTTGATCTCTAAATCCAACACACTTTAACATTTTTAAGCAAGTGATCAACTTGTCCATGGATGATATAATTTTGCAATATAAACTTGGATGATGTAGTTGGAAAGACTTATTATTTAAATATCTACAAAAGGAATTGGTGTTTCTCTTCACGTCACTCAACACCCAAATTATATATTTAGTCTACCATACTTGAAATAATAAAATTACTTGCATAAATAATAAAGTATATTAATAAGAAGTAAAGTACAAGAAAAGAAAAGAAAGTAGAAGAAATAAATGCTAAAGAAAATTATAAAGAAGGCTTCTTGAATTTAGATGGAATTTAAAGATACTTCCATACTATACTTTCATACCCAAATTTACTTCTCAAATTGTTTGTCCTCAAATGCCAAATATCCCTTTCTTTATATAGTAGGAAATGGGATACAAGGACCAAAAGATAAAACCATTATCCAACTTTATACAATGTTCAAAAGATAAATCAATGCTACCCAAAAAATAGTACAAAGAGAATATTCTCTTCTTGCACAATGAGATCTTCAAATATGCAGGAAATAAGTTGTCAAAAAGGAGGATAAGACATCAAAAGATGCTCCATATTATTATCTAAAATGCCCTAGGAATCCTCCTGCAGCACATGTTGTAGCATACATCTGCCAAAACACTTATTTACATAGCTTTTTCACAAAAAATAGCACATACCTAAGAAGTAAACATGTTTATCAAATCAATTCAGCTCCAATATAAAAAAGATGCAAAAATTAAATAAAAAGACTCAATTTGTGGAATTTTGGGAAACTAAAACTAATAAATAAAGTAAGAAAAAGTGTAAAAGCATCAAACAAGTTGATGCTTATCAGTACTACAACCTTCTAATCTCCAATAATTCCTTCCATTTTCATCGTATTCTGGTTAGCAATACCAATGACCGAATTGAAATGAACCTCGACTTTCTTTCATACATCGACCACATTAACCGAACTCAATAATTTATCCTCTTATGTATCAGCTTCTTCCACAACTTCCTCTTGGATCAAAATCACATTCAACTCTTTTTTTACATTTGTGCCCTGGTGAATACTTTTTGTCACATCGATAGCATAAACCAAGAGATCGCCTTTGTTGAACCTCCTAATCCGATAACCTTCTAAAGTCCGATCCAAAACTTACTTTCGAGACCAGAGACGAGACATAATTCGATCCGCTACTCTTAGCTTCGAATACAAAACTTGAATTCTTCCTTCCTATATACGTTGATCTCTCCCTGTTGATCATTTTATTTTTGACTTCGATTTTGGAAGCGGTCTCCATTGCCTCACTTAACGAAATTGGACTCAATAGACACAGTTCGACCTTAATCGAATTTTCCAATCCATTAATGAATTGCCTGAGAAATACCTCTTCAGATATCCCATCCAGAGGAGCAGCGAATTCCACAAACTTTTTCCTATAATCATCAATCAATCCTTCCTGTTTCACTGTCAAAAACCGTTCACATAACAATCCCAAAGCTAGTGATCTGAATTGACGAAGAATTAACCGTTTCAAATCTTCCCAACACGTAATAGGATGACGTTTGTTCTCCCATTGAAACCATTTCAGCGCATCACTTTCAAACGCTATAAACGAAACGTCAATTTGTTCCTCAAGACTTAATCAATTTAACGAGAAATACCTTTCGGCTCTCAAGATCCATCTATCCGGATCTGTACCATCGAACGCTGTAATTTCTCTTCTTCCTTTTACCGCCAAAAAACGATTACGATCATGTTTATCACCATTTTTTCCACTTCCTCCAACCGACCGTGTTATCTCCATCAGATAACGCAGACGAATTCATCTTACTAACCAATTCTGCCTGTTGTTTCCCGTTCTTCTCGATCTGCTCCAGGATCATTTGCATTCCTTTTTTTATAATGAAATTTGATCAATGAAACTACGGATTCCGAGGAACTAATCGATGGATCCCGTGTACATAATTGCCTTTATTATTCTAAGGGGGTGTTTGGGATTGCTTATTTAAAACAACTTATGCTTTTTTGTAAAAGTGCTTATTAACTTATGTGGTATCAAACTGGAGTTTTGTAAAAAGTGTTTGGATTAGCTTATAATGGTACCAAAAAACAATAAGTTGATAAGTTGGTTTTTAGTGTTTGGCAAATTTGGCTTATAGATGTAAAATTACTAAAAAGGTCTTCCAATCAACCTCCACTGTTCATCGTCTCCATCCTCACTCCAAACCCTATTTTCTCCAGATTCCTCTCCATCAGATTCCTCTCCATCCTCATCACTCCAACCCTATTTTCTCCAGATTCCTCTCCATCCTCATCACTCCAACCCTATTTTCTCGAGAACCTCTGCATCGGCGAGTTTGCACCCACYGTGGAAGAGGTTGTCATCGCGATCTCCTGTGAGTGGTTTCTCCCCGAGAACCTCTGCATCGGCGAGTTTCTTGGCACCGATTTCCGTCTCCAAGACGACATCCGTCTCCAAGATGACATTCGATTCGATTTCTCTGGTTTGATTCTCTGGTTCGATTTCACAAAACACCCCCGAATCATCAGTCGGTCGCTTGAGGAAGGTAAGGGTTAAAATGGTAAATTGTTAATAAGTTGATTTTGATAAGTCAGGGGGGATTGACTTATCAAAAACGACTTATTACCGGTTTGGTACCGGTATAAGCACTTTTTTTTTACCCAAACACTCCAAAATGACTTATCTCCGATACCCAACTGAAATAAGTTAATAAGTCGGTTTGAAAAGCTTACCCAAACACCCCCTAAATCTGAATATTTTTATGTAATCAGAATTCAAAATAACACTCAACACTGAACACTGATCCGAACATCCCTACATATAAATCTAATCATCTTCTTCGATCATCGATCATTAATGGCGGGCCTTCATTCATCTCTTAGACCCACTTCATCCTCGTCGTCGTCGTCTCATTCATCAGCACAATCCTCTCAGGTTTTCAATTCAAAAATCTTGCTCTTACTCACACTCCTTCCGCTCTCTCTAGCAGCCTTCGCCTTCGTTCTGCAATGGCGTGGCGAAATCGACGATCCAACAACCCGGTGGAGTCCCAAAGATCGCCTTGAATTCCCTGGAATGGATGCTTATACCTCCTCCACACACACCACCCGAACCTCCTCGAATTGTGCGGATCTCTTGGGTCAAAGCCGGTCCGTATCCTTCCCTTATTATAGGGATTGGAAATTCGATTACATATCCGATCTAAAACCTAAGGTATTATTCCCAAATTTCATGTTTCTTTTTGTAGGGTCATTTATGTTATATAAGAATTTTTTAGCTGATTTGGGTAAACGATGTTGTTTTTTACTGATCATGTAAATGTTGTCTTTTGAACCCAAAAAGGTCTAAAAGCCTATTTTCAAAATCTAATTACATGCTGTTATACATAGACGACACGACTAGAGGTTCGCATTGCCGTGGGTGCAATGGCCACCTGCTTGTTGATTATTGACAATTTATTCTTAATGGATGCTTTTTTTATAAAATCTTTAGGTTTTCTGAAGATCTGTGCAATTTTTATTTTGAGAAAAGGGAATGCGCTTGTCACATTGGATTTTGGATTCAATCTTATCTGTGATGTATCAGAATTCAGCGGCATTGAAAATGTTTACTTTTTGAAGTTAGTGGTATAACATTTGGGAATAAACCAAGTAATCAGTCTTGTAGGATTACCATTTCAATGATCCTTTGAATAAAAATGAAGTTAATAAAAACAAAAAATTGGTCATAGCTCGAATGCTGCTAATGCGTGGTTTTGACTGATAAAGTATACTAGAAGTGGTGAATGGAGAAACATGTAAGGTTACACTTCTTTGTGATAATAAAGCCATGGGTTTTCAGCCATACACCATAGTAGCATTGTTTGTCGTTGATAGTGTTGTTAATGAGTTTTGTGCATAATACCCTTCTGAAAACAAGTCACATGTTCTTTTTAAGAGTAGGTGAAAATCTTCAGCCGAGACTGAAAATTATCTGAAATTCTGAATCATTTTCTATGTTGCAAAGTCTTTACCAAATAGCTGTTGTACATCAACTGTTGATATCATGAAACGAAATCCTTAGGAAACTTGTCCTGATTAAGGGAAAAAAGTTGTGAAAACATGCCAGCTGTGTAGTTTAGTCGAATATACTTGCTCCGTTTTCTTTAGGATATCTATTGGTTCAGCTACTTAATGTGGGTATCTTTTAGCATCCGTAGTACCAATGTCATCTGCAATTTTGTCATTGCAGATATGCATTACCACAAGCACATCAGCTGGCTTAGAGCAAATATTACCGTGGATCTTCTATCATAAAGTTATTGGTGTTTCAACCTTCTTCCTGTTTGTTGAAGGAAAAGCGGCATCCCCGACTGTATCTAAAGTTCTAGAGTCTATCCCTGTGAGTCAAGGACTTGACTTTGTGTTTCTTCAAAGTTGATCTATTATAACATACGTGTTCTTCAATGATCAAATTTACATTAATCTTATTACAGGAGGTAAAGGTGATATATAGGACAAGAGAACTTGAAGCACAACAAGCCAAGAGGTTAGTTGTTGCATCTTTGAATTTTATATGCTAAAAAAAGAGAAGGAAAAGCATGATCCCATTGGTTTTTGTTAGTTAATGTAGTAATAAAAAATTGGCTTTAACCAGAGACATTTTTATGAGTGTTAATGCTATAACGTAATGCATTTGATATTCAAAAATCTACTATAAACTCCTTGCTTTGGACAGAGGTAGGCCGTAGGATAATGTTCTGAAGTAGCAAAGAAAAAGAAAGCATGTCCCCGTTGGTTTCTTAATAGTTAATGTAGTTTAATCAAAAATACTGCTTGAACTCAAACCATTTTTGTTAATGTAATTTGACACTCAAACGTCAAATATGGATTCTTTTCTTGGGACAAAGGGGATATAAAGTTCTGAATTACCCCCCGAAAAATCATATTCTACAATTTAGGCGGGACCCGTTATAAGACCTTCCAATAGCTACCTCATGTCAAGATTCTTGAGATCTTGTTGGAATTGTTATAGGCTGATATTGTGTGTATAGAAGATTTTCAGTTTTCACTTTGTATTTGAATATGTTAACCAAGGGACTTGAGGCGTTAAACTTGTAAAGGCACTATTAGACAATTAAGTGTGATATATATATAATTATATTAGAGGGTCTAGAGTGTAAATGTATCTCTTATATATATCCCTGATTGTAATCGGTATATACACACACAATTACCAAGTTTATCTTGGTATCAGAGCCAGCCCTAAACGCCCTACAGCTGCTGCCCTACGGCTGCCGCCCTACCGCAGCCGGCCCTAAACGCCCTACAGTTGTTGCCTTACGGCTGCTGCCCTACCTTTGCCGCCCTACCGCTGCCGCCCTACCGCAGCCGGCCCTAAACGCCCTACAGCTACTGCCCTACCGCTGCCGCCCTACTGCTGCCGCCCTACCGCTGCCGTCACAAGGCAACCCTAAAGCTTCCGCACCCGTCTTCTACCCTACGGCTGCCTAATCCTAAAGCTACCGCACCCGTCTTCTACCCTACAGCTGCCTCACCTTCTATCCAATGACAACTGTTGCAGCTTTCACTCCAACCGAGAAAACCACCCATAACTCCCACAAGTTTGGCTTCACTTTATCACCAAACAACTATGGCTATTGAAAGACAATGGTTCAACCGTTCCTTGTCACAAACAACCTGTTCGGCTATGTTGATGGCACCATTCCTTGTCCACCGATGACTATCTCATCATCATCATCATCTGGAAAAGATGCGAGTGCCCCCACCACAACCGAATCCTAACTACACAGCATGGGTTTTCAATGATGCACATGTACGGATGCTGATTATTATTTCTACAATCTCTGAGGCGTCGTTCCAACACGTTCAAGGACTTACCTCCCGTGATCTTTGGCTGTCTCTTGAACGTGTTTACGCTCCTCACACATCATCTAGGGTTCCCTAAAAACTCAGCTTCTTAAACTAGAGATGAAGCCTGCTGAAACCTCCTCCGCATACCTGACCAGGGCTCAAGAATATGCTGATGCTCTCGCCAATATAGGTGAACCAATGAAAGAAAAAGATTTGGTGATGCTGGTTATCTCGGGTCTTAGAGAAGAATACAACGGGCTGAAGTCAACACTCCTTGGTCGCCAATTCCCAACTGCCTTTGCAGAACTTCATGGCCTGCTATCAGACCATGACTACATGATCAAGAAATCTGCAACTGACATCTCTCCGCCTCAAGCATTCTCGATTGTCACGAACAACCGCAACTCAGCGGTTCCTGGTGCCACCTCGTCTACTCCTCAACCGGATCTTCAAGCTATTCAACAGCTTCTGTCACAACTTGGTCTTCAAGTTCAGCCTGTTAATGCACAACCTGCACATGCCTTTTACACCAACAGATCTGGGAATAACCGTGGTCGTGGACGTGATTCTAGATGCGGACGAGGAAACTACAACAATAGAAGTCAAGGAGGAGGTAACCGTAATCAATTTAGTTGGGCTTCTAATCAAAACACTGTTTTTGGCACATGCAACAGGTGTGGGATTGGTCATATCCCGTCTCATTGCTCCAATCGCGACCCTACTCCTATGAGAACGAGACAACCACCTTCTGCCAACTTTACAAATTACCGGTCACAAGCTTGGCTTCCGGATACAGGCTCTAGCCATCATGTTGCACCGGACCTATCTASCTTCGATAACTCTGAGGCCTACTACGGTGAGGACAACCTTCACGTTGGCAATGGTAAGGGTTTACCCATTCTACACATTGGTTCCTCACAACTTCATTCACCAAACAAAACCTTTTCCCTTAAAGACATACTATACGTACCTGACATAAAACAGAACTTACTTTCTGTTCAAAAATTCTATCTTGATAACCATGTGTACTTTGAATTTCACTCTACTTTCTTTGCTGTGAAGGACAAGTTCACACACACTATCCTCCTCACTGGTCCAAGTAATGGTGGTCTCTACTCCTTCCGTCCTCCTCAGCCTCAGCCTGTTCAGAAAATGTCGTTTTCTACCACACGTGCCTCTTCCACCACATGGCACCAAAGACTTGGACATCCACATCCACAACTTTTGAAGTCCATGTTATCTAAATATCATTTACCTTTACAAAATAAGTGTGCTAGTACTTTTTGTGATTCATGTTCTATTGGCAAATCGTCTAAACTTCATTTGTTACCATTTACTTATAAAAGTTCGCACATTTTGGATTTGGTTTTCTGTGATGTATGGGGGCCCGCTCCTGTTCCTTCTTTTGATGGTCACAATTATGTGGATTTTTCCATTAAAACTAAAATCTGATGTTTATGCCACTCTTAAACGATTCTTGCGATGGTTGAAAGGCATTTTCAAACCAAACTGAAATCTGTCCAAACCGACTGGGGAGGCGAGTTTCGGAATCTCTCCCAATTCTTCTCTCCTCTTGGCATCACCCATCGCCTCTCATGTCCCCATACAAGCGAACAAAATGGCTTTGTTGAACGACGACATCGACTTGTTGTTGAAACCGGTCTTACTTTACTTGCTCAATCCCATGTTCCACAACGGTTTTGGCATTTTTCTTTTGACACTGCAGTCTATCTTATTAATCGAATGCCATCCAGAACCAACTCAAACACCTCACCATTTGAACATGTGTTCAAACACAAACCCGATTTTTCCTTTCTTCGGGTTTTTGGATGCCAATGCTACCCTCATCTCCGTCCATACAATAAACATAAAATTGACTTCCGCTCTACATCTTGTGTGTTCCTTGGTTACAGCACCGCTCATCATGGCTATCGGTGTTACAACCCACAGTCTGATCGTCTTTACGTGGCCCGTCATGTTCGATTTAATGAACAATCATTTCCTTTCCAAACATCTCCTCCAACCACTCCTACTCCAACCACTCCAAATCCTTATGTCTCCACCTATCCCAAATCTGACCTCCCACCCACCTCTTCATCCTCCACAGGACCTAATGAACATTCTGCTCCACCAGAACTGACACCCTCCATCGCACCTACAGTGCAAACTGTCCCACAAGAAACAACACCTACCACCACCCCTCCTAATGATCACCCTACGGCCCAACCACCCCTTATCCACACCTATCACCGCCGTTTCATAGTCACCGAACCACCACCGCAGCCTACCCCTACCCCTTCCCCTCCTCTACCACCAAACAACCCACCCGTACTCGACCACCCAACCTACGCCCCAATCCCAAACAAACCAAACCTTACAATGCCTCCTCATACCATACCCATCATCCTTCACCTGACACCGAACCAACCACCTTTACTATTGCTAACAGGTACCCTCAGTGGCGTACCGCCATGGCTGACGAGTATTCGGCGCTGATGCGGAATGGTACTTGGACATTAGTACCACGCGTTCCAAATTCCAACGTAATTGATTGCAAGTGGGTATACAAATTAAAAAGGGACCAAACAGGGGCAATAAAACGTTACAAGGCATGACTAGTAGCCAAAGGGTTTCGGCAACAACCAAGCATTGATTATCAGGAGACGTTCAGTCCCGTGGTCAAATCGACCATCATACGTGTTCTATCTCTGGCTGCAACACAGAAATGGTCCCTAAGGCAACTTGATGTGAAAAATGCCTTCCTACATGGTGATCTCAACGAGACAATTTATTTGCAACAGCCACCAGGGTTCGTTGACCTGGACAAACCCGATCATGTTTGTCTACTTCACAAATCCTTATATGGATTAAAGCAGGCCCCTAGAGCGTGGTTTCATCGATTTTCTACGGTCCTTCATTCTCTTGGCTTTCAGGGCTCCAAAACGAACCCTTCCTTGTTCATTTACTCCCACAGGGGCACCATTTTGTACATGCTAGTCTATGTTGATGACATTCTTTTGACAGGAAACAACCCGGAGGCTATTGACAAAGTGGTACAACGTCTTAGTCAATCTTTTGTTGTTCAGGATATGGGTCGCTTGTCTTATTTTCTCGGTATTGAAGTGACCAGTTAGGGTCATGATATGATTCTATCACAACGGAAATACATCCTTGAACTCTTGCAACGCGCAGGCCTGTCTAATGCTAAACCGACTTCATCTTCTATGACCACTAATGCTAATCTTGCTCTTGGTGATAGCGTTACGTTTGCTGATCCGATCAAGTACCACCAAATTGTGGGTGCCCTTCAGTATGTGACATTGTCTCGTCCGGATATTACTTTCACGGTCAACAAAGTCTGCCAATTTATGCAATCCCTTACTGAAAATCATTGGACGGCAGTCAAACGAATTCTTCGTTACTTGCAAGGCACTGCTGACTATGGTTTACGAATCATGCATGATTCAGGCACAATCCTTCATGCCTAC